TATATTATATTATATTATCGTATATTATATTATATTATAGTATAGTATATTATAGTATATTATATTACATTATATTACATTACATTACATTACATTGTATTACATTACATTGTATAATATTACATTATTATGTTATATTACGTTATACCGCATTATATTGCATTACATTATTACATTGTATTACATTGTATTACATGAACCATCTTATAATTGATAGTTAACATACAATTTCCATCTTTATAACAAGGGCTGCCCCAGCTTCTGTGGGAATCCCATCCCAGGCAGCCATTCCTGCCACATCCCGGGCGGCGCGCTGCATCCCGAGCGTGTCCCTGGACTCCACGGGGACAGATCCCGGCGATCCCGGCCGGCTGGGCAGCGGTGAGTTGGGCAGAGGGAAGGAACTTCTCCTTGCATCCGGGGGGCTTGGAGAAGCTCCACGTGAGTCCAAGGACGAGCTGGCCCCACAGGCAAAGAGCTGCTCTCCCTCAGGATTAGTTCCAAAGTTTAATGAGGGCTGCAGAGGTCCCAGGGCACATCTGACCCCAAAGGACCTCCAGAGCAAGAGAGGGGCTCCCAACCTGGAGCTGCCAGATATGGGGGTGCAGGGAAACCCGAGCAGCCAACGGGGGAAGGACATGGGAGCATCCCTCAGGGGGCAAGACCTCAGAGGGACCCCTGAGGAGGGGCTCGGGGAGGAGTCCCAGCCAGGGTCCATCACCTGGTGACCCTGGAGGAAGGATCTGGACAAAGAGGAAGGGTCACCAGGTGATGGACACATCACCTGGGAGGAGACAAGGAGATGGGTCAGGGATTTTGGGCTTTGATGGACATACTGATGGGGAAGCTGGGATGAACCAAGCATGTGCAAAGAGGGGGATATGGAGGGAGAAAGGATGACGAGGGGATACACGGAGCAAACACAGCTCTACACGCGTGTCCTTCGCTGTGCCCGTGCAGGATGCGGCGCTGCCGGCACCTCTCGGCCCCCGAGTGCGCGGCGCTGGCGCGGAGCCCCGCGGGCTCGGCCCCGCTGCGGCAGCCCCTGGGCCTGGGCAGCGCAGCGGGAGCGAGGAACCGCGGCCTTCATCCCACCCACGGCACACGGA